AACACAATAATAATATTATACAATTAAATATATCAATAAATTGTACTGACACTAGCTGGTACATTAATTATTTAATAATGCATAAAGAAATATGAGGATAAAAGAATGAATAATAAAGTTAAATATACAATATAACTTAGTGTAATATAACTTAGTGTAATATTTAATTTATGTCGACACTAAACAGGTTTATCTAAATATAAATTCTTTATAGATCAAAAACACGAAAAATAAAAATAAATTATTATAATAGCTCAATCATAAACACAAAGTACGGCTACCTATTAAAAGCTTTAATTAAATGAAATAATATTCATATATTATTTGTGTTATGTTTTATTTACGTGATATTTAATGACAATTTCAATAAATCTTTATTTTAATGATCTTTTTATTTGTTTTATTCGCAATATTTTTTACTACTTGTGCTAAATGCGTAAACAAGTAAATTTAATTGTACTGACAATTGTTATAGTAATAAACGTATGTTTAATTGTTTATTACAATAACACATTATTATTGATAATAAGACATAAAAAATCGTGAATCTTATTTAAACAAAAGTACATTAGTTTTATAATAAATATATTGTGACAGCCCTGAAACCCCTGAAGCCTATTACAAAACATAATTGCCTTTATTTACTCTGACCTATTTGTGGTGTGAAAGTAGGCTAATATACATTTGTTGTGAAATAATAATTTACTTCAAACCACAAATAGGTCAAAGCAAATAAGGGCACTTAAATGTTGTAATAGACTTGACCTGTTTCGGCCATTTTTGTGTTGTTAAATAAGCACAAACATGATTATTAACCACAATTCAGCTATGATAATGTGATTTATAGTACTGTTGCACCCAATCTTAGTACCGTACCTAGTCTCATTGTAGGGGTATAACATTGAGATCCCAGCTTAAATCAATGACTATTGAAGCAACATAAGGCTTATGGAATCTCGTAAATAATGTTAATCCTACGAGACCAGAGATTATCATCTAGAAATATAATAAGAAATCACTACTGTATAAGTTATAAGTATTGCAATTTCTACGCAAATTTTGTCTTAACAGCACTAGTCATAACGTAAGTATCAACTAATTATAAAATAATTGTCTTGAGTAATTTATGTGGCTAATAGTGAATAAGACTTGGTAAATTTACGGCCATTTTAATTGAATAAAGTTCATACTGTATTAATGATAACTTTTTGTCAATGTTTTATAACTTTAAAATACATTTTAACTTAAATTTAATTATAAAATCAAAATTTAAATAACTAAACTGCATCGTTTGATGCTGTTTAGATACTTTTAATTTATATTTAACAAAACAAATTTATAATTAAACAGAAATGGCTAAAATATCTACTATCACCAAATTTGATGAGATCGTTATGCTACCCAATTTCAATTTAACGACACATGACTTCATTTCTAAATTCAATCAACTTTTGAAAGAAAAGATCAGAGATAATGGTATTTATATTTCAGTTATAATAAGTACAACTCGTTTAACTTAAGTGTTTTTAGATCTAATTCTTAAAAATCCAAGTCTAATGACCGAAGACTTGTTGATTAATTTGGTAAAATGGAAACCTGATTTAGCAAATATTATTGGTTGTGATGTTAATCATATGAGGTTTATTAAAGAAAGCTCAAACAAAGCTGGTAAGCATTTAATAATTAATTATTTTTAAAAATGTGCTTTAATTTGAAATTTTCAATGTTAATAACATGTTAAAACTCGTCCATCAGAAAACATACTTGGATCTGAAAAGTTCATCACAAACACTGTTGTGAAGCCAAATAAAAAGGCAATTAACATAAAAAGTAAACAACAAGCATATAATCGATCCAAGTTTGCAACAAAATCGACTGGACACTCATCATATGACCCAAAGCGGTTTGCAGCAAATCCGACCACTTATCGGCTTAAAACTGGGAATTTCAACAAATTGGCTACGACTGTAAAGTCAAGGTCAAATGTTGGTAAAAGTGAAATTAAGTCCACAAAACAAATTCAGCAAAAGGTATTAACTAATAATATCCAACCTACTCGTTGCGCAAGCGCAAAAACCACAATCGCAGCACGTGGTTCTACTATTGATCACGTGATCGCACATAAACAACACAATGGCTCAACCCCCAGAATCGCTACAATATTATCAAAATCCTTGGTAAATGGTAAATACATGTCCATTAAGTCCATACCGACCGGCACTTTATCGCAACCACACTTTGGTCCGAGTGGTGACAAGTCGTCAACAGTTGTCACAATAGAATCTAAACCAGCGTTTTGTTCAGCAAAATACGCGAACATAACTCCCAAAACACTCACAACTTTACGCGAACCCCCTATAAGTGCACAGCAATACCCCTCAACCCCCCTAAACAACCCCTCGGCTGTTATTATTGCCAAACCGGTGGTCAATGCGACCAAACCTTCGCTGTGTTTATTGAAATATGAGAGCAATATATCGGAAATTCCCGACACTCTATGCGATCATACGGTTAGAGCGCAGCCATACCTCTCGGCCCCCGAAACCGATCCCTTTGCGGCCATTGTTGCCTATCTTGAGTCCAGAGATCCCGAGACCACAGAACCCGCGATAACCGAACCGCTCATCGCTTACGCCGAACGGCCGGCAAATGAGTGCCAATCGCCGCCCAATGAGACCCAATCCGATGATAATGACAGCGCAGACGACACAGAGACTGATCCCAAAGACATCGATAATGATAAGCGCGAAGACAGCGATAGTAAACCCGATGGCACTGAAGACAAACCCGCTGTCAATGGAGACAAATCCGGCGTCAGTACTGACCCGAAACCGGAGACCACTTCCGGCAAAGACGAGACCAAAGACACGAAAGACTCAAAGAAACCGTATTTCAAACGCAAGAGAAGCACTTCTTCGTCGTCGGATCAGTCATCAGATGATAGCGATTGCGACGACAGTAATAGAGATGACTATTATCTGCGACAACGAAAGTCGCCGCAGTGTCGACGCAATTTCTGGTGGGCTGACCCACAGCTGGACCAACCCTTTCAACCCGAGCCCACGGCCGACACGTATCTATTGGATGCGCCCAAACGTGTGGCCAAACGCCGACAGAGCCGGCGATCACCGTCTGAAGAGTCGGACGACTCGTTCATAAACGACGGTCCCGTAGATGTCGACTACGAGGCCATCGCGAGAGACAGAAACAGAACCCCGAAGGCTGTTCCCCAAGAGGTGACCACCGATGACGACGACGACACTGACAGCGAAGACACTGTTGTTGATGAAGACACGGAAGTGGATGAGAGATCAGATACAGGCGATAGTGAGGCCACTGAATGTGAGCCCCAATACGTGTGCCTATTCTGCGATCAAAGACAGCGCCTGTACTGCGAGGCAATGGATCACATGATTAGTCATTTTCCCGAAATCATGGATAACACCGGCGACTATGGGGTCGAGCGTCGGGTCAGGTCGTGGTGTAAGAAGTTTCTGGCAAAACAGTCGGCGCCGGAGTTGTTGAGAGAGTTGACGGACGAAACCGAGTGGTCAGAGATTATGGGCAGTATATACTGTCCCGTATGCGAGCGCGTGGCCGACACTAGGGGTCGGGCGGCCAAACCATTTGACACGTACAACGAGCTCAAATCGCACGTATATAAGCACTCGTGTTGGGCGGCCATTGAGTGCGGCCTTTGCCACAAACCGGTGGACAATACGGCCTGCGATATACTCCAGCACTTGAACGCACAGCACAAACACTCGCTCCGGGACTCACCCGTAGAGGCCATACGCCAGTTGAGTGGCAATCGGGTCAACGAGGGATGGCTATCGGGTGACGAGCGCCAGGAGCTCATTGCACACAAGTTTGTGGCATTCAGTCGACACGACGTAATCGACGGACAGATTGAGCGGTGGTTAGAGGCCTCAAAGGCGGCCCAAGTGGCGCGCCTTCGCCGCCAACAGCCTGTACGGGCCGTACGACTGGCTGTCCGTCGACTGCCGGCCCTTAACTACGAGAATAAGAGCGACGAAGCGGTCAAGAGTTTAGTCAGCGATTTGATCGGTAAGACTCCGGGAGGGGAACCGCCGGCAAAGAGATGCCGCGGCGATAGTGAGTCTAACCTCCAAACTCAGGCCAATAGTAAGTACAGACGCGTTATGATAGCACTCGACAGCGAGACAGACATCGACACCGAAGTCAATGATAATGAAGACATAAATAGCGGCGAAAACACTGAATGCGATGATAGGGTTGTCACCGAAGAGATGCCGAGTACTAGTAGTGATAGTAATGTGTAAGTTGTTGTTTGAATTAGATTTTGTTTTATGAAGTTTGTTTGAATTAATTGTTTATTGCACTTATAGTGGCAATGGTTTGGTCACAACACCCGCAGCCCAACCCCACCGGCCTTCGGGTGCCTCTAATAAGCAGTTCCGGTGCGGTGTCTGTCATAGTCTGTGCGATAATAGGCGTGAGATTGAGGTTCACGTTAAGGCCAGTCATCCCAACCGTCCCATTAGTTATCGTATAATTAATAACTAATCGCTGTTTTAATTGCTATTAATATTTCATTGTTAATTATGGTTAATTTATTTTAGCTTTATTTTAATTAATTAAGGCTTAATCTCAATTATTATAATCTATGCTATGTTTACCACTTTATGTCTTCAATATATGCACCCAATAGTGAAGTAGATTTAGATAAATATTTACTAACCCTAATGTGTATTGAATTTGTTTTATGAGTTGAATTAATAAAAATAAAAATAGTTATTCAAATATATCAAATGTTTGCGATTTTATTTGAAATATGTTTTTCATATGTTTTTATTAAAATAAATATTTGTTAATTCATTAAGCATTTGTTAACCTCAATTTAAAGCTGTTGTATTAATTGTGCATGGTGTTTAACCAAATTATTAGGGCACATTTGTGGTTTGTATTGTAATACAGAACAATTGAATTACTTTTTTGAAAATATAATTTAGACCAATTTATAAATAAAGTGAAAACAGTTTTACAATCTTGAATTTTACAATTATTTCCTGTGTTATCAACAGGAAATACAGTCAAACTTAACTATACGTTACGTTTGACAAAGTATAGCCAAAATTAATTATTTGCGCTCTAAGATTAAAATGTTACCTATTATTGTATTATATCGGGTCTATTACCTATATTATTGGTGAAAAAAATTTACTCCCCGTACATTTACGTTAGTTTTAACAATTTTTGATATTATTTATTTTATATGAATCTGCATGTATGGTATAAGAATGATAGTATAAGGCTTGTACAGTACTACAAGCAATACATCTACACTTTCATATTATTCACTTATTAAATATGCAGTACTCTTTTATTATAGCAAAATTTTACGCAATAACATTTTAATTAAAAAAACATATTTTTATTGCCAAGTAAATAAAACAAAAAATTTGTCATAGTTACATGTAAATTATGTTGAGAATTACTCTAACTTCTATAGGATTAATCGCACTACAATACATTACTATATACCGGTACTAATTATTAGTCACTAATCTCTTTATAACCACAGTTAACTAACTAACTAATTATTGCTATTAAAAATTTATATATAATATCACTATAGTGACTGTTAAAAATATTTCTACTAAATAAC